GCGTGCCCCAGCTCATCTGTGGCTACAGGGTAGCTTTCCACCATCGGTGTGGGTATATTTTAACAAAAGAAATGTGTGTTTTTTTTTCATAACTATAGAGATACCCACCCATCAAGGTAGGTTAAAGTCTATTTTCCGTGCAAAACTGAAGGGATAGCCATAAATGTGACGTCTTGCGCATGTGTATTGACTGTGGGTATGCTGGTCTGATGGGGTACGCTCATCTGATAGAACACCGGCTCTATTCTGGGTTTAATTACAGACTGGGAGGAACTGGGCGAGGCCGGACAGTTTTCTGTGACAGATTCATCAAACCGCAGCGCTGCACGCTCAGATTGATGGCTGCATGGCTGCAAACAGACAAGCGGGGCTCACACAGGCCCTCACAGCTTCATCTGACTGAACAGAGTGAAGGACAGGGAGTTAGACTAAAGATGTAGGGAGAAACGCTCTAATTTAACAGGAGGAAGATCGGTGGTCTTCATCCAATCAGCATTTATTGACCATTGCATAAGAGAACAAAAACACTCCTGTTTATGCCAGTGCTGCCTGTGAAGGATCAAGAGGCCTGGAAATCCTCAGCTTGGCTCTAATAAACACTATTTTATTGATGCTGCAGACTAACCCTTGAACTTAGGGCAGAGTTCCTTCCTTATCTGTATCTGGCTCCTGGTGGCTTCTGAAAACACTGCCCCTTAGAGAAGGTACAACACAAAGGTGCCGGTTATAAACCTGGCCTTGAAGCTGCAGCATGGAAGGTGAATAATATTTAAAGCTGTACAGAAACCAGGCTGTCTGCATGCGTGTCGCAGTTAATGCAGATATGCCCTCGCCTCTTCTGCAGACACTCTGATGAACATCTCCAAAATTGTAGGTGACCACAGACAGGAGGCCTCTGAAGTCGGACCAGCTAGAAGAGGGGTCGACAACCTGTGGCCCTGGAGTCGCATGCGGCTCTCTAGCCTCCCCCTTGTGGCTCCCTGGAGCTTTCTCTTAAATTTTATGAAAATCGATTTATTTTTTCTTTTAATATGGTGTGCAGGAGGTCAAACAAAAATAAATTTTTGTTTTCCAATGCTGTAAACATTTGTATTATAAATAAATTTAAACAATAATTTGGGTCATAGCCATAGAGATCAGTGGTCATAACTTGGAACCATCGTGGAGCGGTGCCAGGAAAACAAAGTGGTGGGTGTGTCTCGGAATATGAATCCCAAAGGGAAAAAAGTAAAATAGTTGATAAGAAATGAGGATTCAAATAGACCGAATCATTTGCTTTTATTATCAATGCAGAAGGATTGCCTGCATTTTTACTTTGTAATGAGAGGTTGTCAAAAAATAAAAATAAAAATTTGGAAAGGCATTTCCAGGGAAGGCTAAATCTGCAGCCCACCACCAAGCTGGGAGTGAGAGAAAAAGTGCGATTGCAGGATAAATTAGAGGAGCGCAAAGATAGATTTAAGAAGTGGATTGCATTTCCAAACTCCACTACTGCTGCTAGTTTTGTTGCAAGGTCAGAAAACCG